AATGCTCCCTATGTAAGTACATCGCAATAGGCACCGTCACGGGGAATGCTCCCTATGTAAGTACATCGCAATAGGCACCGTCACGGGGAATGCTCCCTATGTAAGTACATCGCAATAGGCACCGTCACGGGGAATGCTCCCTATGTACATGTAAGTACATGGATCATGGAGTTTTGTCTGAAAGAGGGGAAATGGGGAGAAAGGGGGAGGGGGAATGGCTCCCCCACGTCCCCTCAACATGGGAGATACTTCACCATTCCACTTCTTCCTCCCGAAACATAGTTTACTAATCCAAGCATTTCATTCTGTCCCTGTGCTACACACCTCTTTATAAAATTTTCCAAGTCTACTTATTATATTTGGCGAGCGAATGTCCCCGTACGGCCCCCGGGCTCTGTCCTCTTAACAAAGTTTTAAATTTCCCGATGGAACTTTTATCAACCTACATATGGGATTAAGGTTGTCAGATATTTAGTCACCCTAACAAAGTCCTATGTGATCCTATAAGATCCTGTAGGATCCTATAGCTCTTTTTCGTAAAGGTAGTATTTATTGCCAAACGGCGCTAAAGCTGGGTTTTGGAAAATATGTTCTTGTCGTTCAAAGATGAAATTGCTAAGCAAAGTTATCACTTTTGTATTTTCTTTGTAGTTTTTAAGTATCAGTCACAAGTGCGCATGCCCAGGACTTTGCACGCCAGGTCTGAGTGCAGGAACCGTCATCATCATCGTGTAGGTATCGCAGCATTCGGCCATCCTCGGGCGATTCCGTATCTAATCAAATCTGTGTAGATTAAAGTTTCATATGGTTCAATGTGCGGAATCGACCGAATATTCCAGAATGGGTCTCATAGATATAAATGTATTTTTTCTTTTCATTTATTTGGAAATGCTAATATAGTCAGTAAGTAAAGCGTGTATTTCGTACCCCATTTTGCCCGATTCTCTCATCACGCCCCCTCCCCCTAAATTTGTTTTCTGTACCCTCCGAAATACGACTCGGGAATCATAAAAAGATACTTGTATTAAAACGTTTACCATTGCTTGTTAAGACCTTAAAATATAGAAAAAAACACGTTCGATTTAAGCTCGTCGTAGTTGTCTCTTATAATATCTAAAAACATAAAATCTGTTTCAAATAAAACCGGCGTGACAGCAATGGTAGTCTTAGGAATGGAAGTCCCATATGATTAGTACAGGTAAGAGTTGGTCGCAGTATTGTCACCTGTACAGGGTGCCGGGGAGCAGACAACGGTTCCTAGCGGACTACCATTCTTGTCATACAGTCACCGGTCTGGACGCAACCAATGCATTGTAACCATTTCTGTTGTCAGGTTCTTCTGCGTTCTTGCTGTATATCTCATAGGAGGAGTGCTGTATACTAAATTTGTAAAGAAATCCACGGGAATGGAGTTAATACCAAATTTGGACCTGTGGAAGACATTCTTTCAGTTGATAAAGGTGAGGAGACGAACTGTATATATCGGCAATTTTCGGGCTTTTTCGGTGGAACTTAAAGACATGCGTTTTCTCAAGGTTAGCTATGCACAGCGTCATCTCGAGATTAAGAAAAGAATGGTTAATCGAGTTTTATATATTGTTATCCTTTTCATTTTCTCAGCCCTTTAAAAGCTTCTTACTCTCCCTTCAATCAATATCTATATATAGATAAGTAACACAGCCAGTACTAATAACCTACTTGTACGGCATAAGCCCCATTTAGAATAGGGGACTAACAAGTCCGAGGGTCAAATATGGCTGACTCACTTGAATACTTCCCCACTGGATATCTGTTCAGTGTCTTTTAGCGATGGGGTGGGGTGCCATATTTGACTCTCGGACTAGTTAGTCCCCTATTCTGAATGGGGCCATACTCCCAAGTATTATAGGCCAAAAATAGCTGCCCCTCTACCTCCCCCAAGCACTTGTCTCTTTGTACTGCTCTGGACGCTCTTGTTAGGGCGAATGCATTTTAAAAATCAAAATCAGGCAATGATATGATATATGAACAAAACTTTGTTTAGATTTCATTGTTTTATATGTTAAACTTGACTTTAATAAAATCCTAATGACAAAGTCAAATAGGCGGGCTACCGTCTGTACATGTACCACGTCTGGAGTAGGAAAACATGATTCTATGAGTAAACATGCATAAAATAGGGTATTACTGAAAATTAATTGATATGTAAACTTATTGCTGTCAATAAATACAAATAAAGTGTCATTAACTGTTGGCTTTTTTTTTTCAGGACGGTTTCATGTTTCTCGTCGGGAAGTGCAAAAGGAGCCAGTATGATAAAATATAAAGATGGCATCAGTATGCCAACTTAGAATTATGTATTCTGTAAATATTTTTATATGCCAAACGACTTATAATTTACAAATTATTTCAATCGGTGTAACGAGTTAAACCTGGACGAAATTGGTTCAGAATGTTCCGAATGATGCTGTTAAAGAGAGAGGCGTTATGTACAGCTTTTTCCAATATGTGATTCATATTAAATTGAAAATTATATTTTCTCATCTTTAATTTTACTGAAATGTTAAGTTTAAGGTAACAAATAATAGTCATTGTATGCAGTATAATACCACTCATTCTGCTAGTTGAGTCAATGTTAAACTCGAGATTGTGTTAGTTGCGACATGTAATTTGTTCACTTCGGGTATTGTGGATGTTGCGACATGGCGAAGTGATGAATAATTATTCCAAATCAATCTTATCGTATGGAATGTTCATAATACCCCCCCCCCCCCAAAAAAAAAAAAAAAAAAAAAGAAGATAAATGCATATACATATTAGATAGACTAATATTATATTGTATTTATATAAAGCTTGGACCTAAATAGAGAAGATCTTGTTAGGTCCAAGTATAAAGGAACAAACTCGTGATAAGCGTCTATAATGGCGCACCAAGGGGAGGATGAGAGGGGCACTTTCCCCTCACTTAGCTCCTTTATCTTCTATAATAATAAATAATCAATTAATAAAATTGATAACACGGAAGCGAGCTAGCAAACAGTATCATACAATTTTCGATTGTTCTTGGTACAGTACGGCGCGGAAGAAAAGACGTTGCAGTAGAGAAAAATTTTCTGGAATAGCACTTTGATAAATCAAACCGCTCCACGGTTTGGTCCTCTAGAACACTTCTTGTGCCTGCAATCACACCTCCCCCTCCCAGGTGGCGTTCGATGGATTGGTATTTTAACAACTAACAACTTAAATCAAATTTTGTGATTCCTGGGTCGGGCACTGAGATGTTATTTTAAACTTCTCACGAAATGCTTTTCGAAGTCTCGTTTGGTTATCACGTGCAAAGCAGTGCCCGCATGAAAATGCAGTAGTATCGTAGTAGCAAAGAAGCACTGGTGTGGAGCATATTTGCCAACTGCAATTCTAATCCAAAAAGTACATAGGTTTGTACAGAGAGGAGCATTTATGCAGTAGATTAGCAGCATGATAGAAGCATGTTTCAAATATGCTAATTAGCTCCCAAATCGAAGCAGATTTGATGATTGCAGTAGTCTACTGCGCTGGAGTATCTACTGCATTTTCGTGTGGGAGTCATAACTCTTCTTTACCACAAAATCTTCAATCTGAGCACGAAACAACAACATTAATATTAAATATTTAAAGATTTTATTATCTGTGGAAAGTGCGTAATTACTGAGTAGCCATAATTGTTAAACTGCAATGCTACAGTATTTGAATTAGGTAATTTTAACTCCTTTGATATACCTGTCAACATAACCGTGAGAAAGTCTTTCTTTCGTGAATTTTCCAAAACAAACTGAAGAAACATTGGGTCATTTTTATACAATTTGAACAAGTGCATATAATAGAAATATCATGGATATACAGTAAATGTGACATGGAAAGGTCTTCAAGGCCATGAAGTGCATATACTTTATGTGACACAAGGCCAGACAAATTGATAAAATGGTAAACGAGCACCTTATCAAGAATTGCATATAAAAAATTCTCCCTTTGTTTGATAAAGTGTCTTTGATAAAATATTTAAATTCTACATATTACAAACATCATACTGGTCCTCAAGACATGCCATTGTATACTTACTTCACAGTATAACCCATAACACAGGAAATAAAATAAAAAATAATATGAACATACTGATTCAAATAATTATGATTTTACTTATTCAAATTAATTCAACAAAAAATGTTAGACAGAGATTGGTCTCAATATTTCAGCACACACAAAAGTTTACCCTTAGTGCAGTAGTTATTGATGACATGTTGCTGTTATTTTATTCGCCTTCTCATACTAAAGGAATTGGAATGTTATGCTAAGTATATTGGAATTCATCGTTTTTTTTACATGGAAGAACATGAAAAATAATATATAACAAGTAAATGCAGTGCTCTGACATAGGTTCCTCTACATATATTGAGACTCATAGCAATGTTTAAATTTTCTTGTTCCTTTTGTGCTGTGATTCACAGAAAAACCCATTTACCAGATCCTTTGTCTATATAAAAATATATATTATCCAAGTTTTATTTAGTTTATCCTAATAAATAAATAAATAAATAAATAAATAAATAAATAAAAATGAATACAATAAAATGCAACTTGAAATAATTAATCAATTGAATAAATACATGTGTTACTCTTCTCAGAACCACATTTTTGGAAATCAATTTAAAGAAATTTTGTGATCGTGTTATTTTGTTATAATGTGCACTACACAAACAAAACATTTTAAATTAATTAATGGTATTTGCACTTGAAAATTGCTTTTATCACTTCTAAAAACAGGTGAAAGGGACTATTCCCACAGATATTTGGATCAATCTATCTCCCTGGGGAGTCTCACTACATTGCTATCAACTTAACCAGCGTAAATGTCTGTTACTCCAAGTAAAGCTGTAAGGGGGTAATTATCTATACCCACTAGCTGATTCAATAGGCGTGACAGACATTTAAGCCGGTTAAGTTGATAGCAATTTAATGAGACTCCCCAGGGAGTTGGACCAATCCAGATGGATTGATCTATGCATGGGAACCCAGTCTTAGTCATAAACCAGTTCTGTAAGAAACTTCCCCTTACATCACAAGACCTTACCACTGTAAGTTTTGGTTCATGCAGGCCTGGATGTAGGTACATGAAGGTTTCATATGGTAAAACCTCCACATAATTTGATAAAGACACCCCACCCTCCCTCTTTGAAATTAATGGATGAGCCTCGAGCAATATTCTGGATGAGTCAGCCTAAAGTGCTGCAAAATGACCCAAAGTGCTTACTCATCAACCAACCTATACCATTCATTAACTTTTATCATATATATATGCTATTTATAAAGTCCTTATGATAAGACCATTAAATGTGATTGACCACAAGTCAACACACTAGTTTTTCGGGGGCGTCTCGATAGTCTGAAGGTTCATTGGTCCGAAGGTTCATTGGTCCGAAAAGTGGTAACATTTTCATCTATATTTTAATCAAGGGTTCATTGGTCCGAAGGTTCTATAGTGAACATTCGGACCAATGAACCTTCAGACTATTGAACCTTCGGACTATCGCTACGGCCCCAGTTTTTCAACAGCACTTGCCACCCTTCATTTGTGTGCTTTCCACAAGGGCATAAGTCAAATCATGTCAAAGGTCATCTAGAATGCCACCTGCTGCACCGGCCATGTTGACATGTAGCTTCAGAATATTCAGACTGCTGATTGGTTGAGAGATCCTCATGATTCCCCATGCTGCTCCATTTACAGGCAGAGAGCCAGCATAGGACAGAATATGCTAGCATTGGCTCCAGCCTATGTCGAGGATTTACCTAAGAAAGTGCTACCAAGATGATTTAGGATGTATGGAAACAAATGTATAGAAACAAATTAACAGGTGACAGGTCTTAACACCCTGCTAAGTGGGAATTTAAGTTGTGGGTGTATTTAAGAAAAAAAGTTAACAAGTTTTAATTGTCCCCAGAATAGTTCAATAAGAAATGATTCACATGTTAAGAATGTAAAACNTTATTGTCTAGGAGAATAGTAGATATCAGCCTGTAGTCTTGAACAAGCGCCTCGATGACGAGTGAACAGTTGTCAAAAACAAAAGACCCAGGTGTGGTAGTTCAACTACTGTTCATGCGTGCCGCAACGACCAAACCTAATTGCTCCTCAAGGTCACAAAACAATAACCGGTACTGACGGCTAGGCTCGTCTTAATCATATAAGTAGCGCGTTTCCACCCCCTGATTGAGGGAGTCGTCTGTTGTATTCATACGACTCCTACTTGACGAAAACGAGGCGCGATACCCGGATGACAGGTAGGCTTACAGAATTTGTGATAGGGTATGATACTCTTTTATGCGATCTGACACACACCTTGAAAACGGGTAGTATGGTCAGATACACCGGTTTATTCTGGACCCGTAGGTGCCGAGTCTGGTAGTTGGGAAGGCCTGGTATATGTATATAGGTAATAACCCTATCGCATCACGGACTTCTTACAGAGGACAAGAATGGTTATCAAAGGTAGGATTGGAGATACAGAAAAGGATCAGGAGGAAGAATAAAATGTGAATGTGCCTAAAGTCAGTTTTAATTTTTCGATATTGAATAATTAAAAAAAAAATTAAATAAAACTGTCAGAGAGATAAAGAAAAAGGTAATAAACCTCGAACTCGTGTATTTTAACTGAAACTGTCAAATCACTTAACAGGCACACAGTGACAATATCATTACACTTACCTGTCCTCTCCATTTCCTCAATGTCATCCTCAGCTCCCTCAACATCTTGGACAAGTCTTGCAACCCCACATTCTTTCAACAGATCTTTGAGAACTTCATAACGCCCAACACCGATGTGACCTTTATCTTCCAAAGCATTGAGGAAATTATGTGTGTCGCAATCCTCGAGTTCTTTCGGCTGAAAATAATTAACCCTTGACATTTGTTTCAACTTTTTAAACTGGGCCTTTGTAATGCTGTTGGCCAAATAGTTTATTAGTCCATTGTGCCGATCTCGGGGATTTCTCATCTCGGTCAATTTTGCCGATAACACTGATACGAGAAAATGCGTCCCGCTCTAGTGCCTCTCTATAGGGTGGTAGAAATAGCTCGTGACAAGTAGACGTAGCACGCTACATCTGATACTCCATCTGAAACAAAATGCAGAGAATAAATATGTGAGACAAAGAAGAAGAAGCAGAGTAAAGGACATTTTCTAGTAATATCGCTGAGTCTCCTCAGGGTTGGAGCCAGGTATTGAGAGCACTGAGGCTCAGCGGGCACTGTGAACTCATCCTTTATTACATTTGCCATACGATGTCACGTGTACTGCCCGTATATCCTTTTCCTTGTGGCGTATGAGCGGAAACATGGGGAGGTCGTTCAAAATCGTACAGATTCAAGGTTCCGTTTTTTTTTTTTTTTTTTTCAAGCTAAAAAAAAATTAATCTTAAGCCTGTAAGCAGAGGCATTATCGTAGATGACATCGCATTGTTCCAGTATACGGGAACTGTTCGGTTGACTTGCGGTGCTCTAGATAATGTGTGGACCTGTTGTTGGTCTCATATCCTTTCCCTTTTTTAGGAGGCATAAAATATAAATATGTTTAAAACTTAGTGTTTTTTACTTGAAAGATTTGAAATTGTGCGTATGTCCTGCGTACTATGTATACTAAATATACTTTACCTGCGCAAGTTTCACAACTTACGGTACACACGTATTAGGCCCTATATCTACTTTGCTATAGGGGCCTTTGACAAGAGGACTTATTTGCTGCATCTCACTAGTGCAGGTATCGCCCATGGGGTTATCAGGTAAGGTACATTAAAGTATTGTGCGGTTAAACGCCCTTTGATCGCATTAAATGAACACTGGAAATACCCTGCGCACAACTTATTTGAACATCTTATTTGCATGTACTGTTATTGTGCTATTTTGCGAAACGATTGATACTTTCTTCAACTTACTTGTGAGTTTTCCCTCTTTTTTCTCCTAAAAATCTCAATGACAACCTTTTTTTCTTTACAAATATGTCATGTAGGTTAGTAGATGTTAGTAAATTGATCATTTGTCTGGTCATCAGCCAGGTGAAGCCAGGTGAAGCTAAATCATTAATTTTTCATCTAGTGACTGTTCACAGTTACTTAGTTATACGACTACCCCGCTACTTCTTCAGGAACTCACAAGAATTGATCACTGTGCTATTTATAAAATGTCGCTGACATTTGCAAGAGATCTTGTGTCTGTCTGGTTGTCAACCCAGGCAAACTGCGCAATAAAAATACCCCTTTTTTATCGTCGCTATAAATAAACAGTGGAAATACCCAGCTGCGCACAACTCTTTAGAGCATCTTTTTCTTGACGTGCAATCAGCTCTTTTGTCATATTGTTTATTTATTTAAACTCACTAATTATGTTTTTGTGTATTCTTTTTTCTTTTAAAATGTCAACAAAAGCCAACCAGTACATGAGATCTCCGCTTGGTTGTCCGGCTGTCACTGCACGTAAACACTGCGATATTGTATTAATTTTCACGTCATCGCTATAATGTGAGCTACAGAGCTTTTATCTAACAATGATACACCTAGATGCATTGGCGTACACCTACTTCATTTGATTACTTTCCATTAGTGGCAGAGGTACAACCTTATGACTGGTGTACTGACAAAATCAAATATTTAACAAACTTACTTGAAATTATGGTATAACGTCAAGCGTCTGTGTCTATTTTTACAACTGCACATAACTCGCTACTTTTCAATTATTTGTTTGAAATTCTTTTTACACTCGTAGATGAACAATCGCTTTCATTTACCTATTCAAGTATGGCTACCAAAAACAAACATTCATGCTGAAAAACGCCCAATTGAACACAGGCCTCTCACAATATATTTTCATATTGACTTGAAATGGCCCATTTGACTGCATTCGACTATATGATTAAATCACAATATATCAATACATTTATGTACTTAATACTATGAAAAGAAACTTTACGACTTTCAACTTTTTGAATTACTCCGGACTTTAGAAAGAAAAAAAGAACATTTTGAAAGATCGAGGTCTTGCAAATAAATTAAACATTCTACATGACAAAGTATTTTTCCAACATAACACAAATTATGAACGCTACCAAGCCAGGTTACCAGAGCAAAATCATTCTCCCGCCATTATTATTTACGAGGTATTTTTATATCAATAACTATTCACAGTTAATTCGCTATATGACTACCCTACCTATTTAATTATTTAAGGAACTCACCGGAACTGTTAAGGGTGGCATTTTTAAAATGTCCCAGTCATGTGTGATTGGTGTCAACTGATCATGAAACAAACTGCGCAATAAAAGATTCCCTTTGAAATTGTCCCTATAAATAAACAGTGGAAATACATTGTACCCAGCTCTTTTGAATTTTTTTTTTTTTTTTTTTTTTTTTTTTGACGTGCAATCAGCTCTTTAATGACATTGTTTATTTCTTATTTCTTATTTTAAGTTTGTGCATTTTAAAGTCAACGGTATCTTACCAGTACATTAGCTCTCCGCTTGGTTGTCTGGTTGTCACTGCACATAAACAATGCGATACTTAAAATACTTACGTCATCACTATAAATAAACACGTGCCCTTGCCATTGTTTGAACAACCACTTCATATATATTAATTTTGTAAAAATCTGTCAGTGCTTTTATCTAAAAATGATATACCTGGATGCCATTTTTGTCCTGGATGTTTCTGTCTGGTCGATTATCTACATGGTCTTCACAACGACAACCAGATTTGTGGATTATTTTTTAATCACATACTGAAGCATACGTTTTATAAATAATTGAAATAATGCATTAACGTACGAACTACTTCATTTGACCACTTTTCACTAGTCGCAGGGGTACCACCTTATTACTAGTGTACTGACAAAATCAATTACTTAACAAACTTATTTGAAATACTGTAGGTATAACATGAAGCGTATGTGCCTTTTTTCACGGAGATGCACGGATATCACAATTTAGTAATTGTTTACAGTTACTTCGCCATTTGACGACCCCGCTATTTTAAGGAACTCACCGGAACTGTTGCTGATATTTGCAAGAGATCTTTTCGTGCCTGTCTGGTTGTCAACTCAGGCAAACTGCGCAATAAAAATTTCCCCTTTGTACCTCTGCTATAAATGAACTATGTAAATACCCAGCTGCGCACAACTCTTTTGAGCATCTTTTTCTTGACGTACAATACGCCAATCGGCAATCCTCGGCTCATTCCGCAAGCTCCATACTAACCTCGGATGTGATAGGCGGATAAATATGCACCAAATCCATGCATTTTGTTCGCCGGAAATGCCTTCTCACTCAATTCGACAATTCCGCTCATAAAGATGGCTGTCAATACCCCTGCTTTTTATGATGATTTACAGTTTGCCACACAATGCACTAAGATTGACTTTGATTTAAAGGATAAATAGATACAGGCGTTGAAAGAATTAGGTTTAAATTAGCGCGAGGTTGAAAGTAGTTCCTTCCCAACAATCAACAATCAAATATGGTTGCCTCCGTATTACGTCCGAGGTTATTGTCGAGTGCGGAGACATCCGAGTAGTTCCGAGTGACAATACGCCATCGCTACAAATGAACAAATACCCTTGCCATTGTTTGAACAATTACTTTACTCGCTTTGCAAAACAACTTTTGTCGCGTATTGATTTTTCCGAACTTTAAATAACAATTTGTAATAACCCCTTTCTGTTGAATTGTTTGCTTGAACAGCCGTTTTAACAGGTACATTCCTAAATCGAAATGAACATACAGTAGGCCTATATGTAGATCTGTCACAATCGTAAGTGTCTTTTCCTGACTTGTCGTAGAAGAGAATTAAAATAATCGTGATAATTGTAAAAACTATTCACTATAGTTAAACAATGGCCAGCGAAATATTTTATTATCCTGGTGCTGGTTCAGTTATCTTTTTTTTATTTCATACTCATTTGTACCTTTACTTTTAGATATGTATGAAGTCGCACGCGAGTATTTGCCTAACGCACAGATAACACAAGGATCCACAACTGGTGAGTATTATAAAATTTGGGATTTCATTAATGCATTTCTTATAGTAGGCCCTATGTAAAGTGGGGTCCGCCATATAGATAAACGTCCCAATAAAATATTCGCCCCGATAGATACGTCTCTATACATACACGTCTCAATAGATTTACGTCTCGTTAAATTTATGTTCCGATAGATCCACCAACAGATTCCTATAAACCCACGTATCTTTAGATCCAGCTANCGAACTTGACCTTGCGTATTATGAATATTCATCAGTTCTGCAAGTTTCAAGTCAAAAGGTAAAATGGTTTTCCACTTATCGTGTTATCGGTAAAAGTGCACGGCGACGGCGACGGCGACGACGGCGACGACAGACACGGATGATGGCTATATGTACAGACACATCTGTGTCTGTACATAAAAAGGCCCTGTATGTGGCTCCACCTACCTGCCACGGCTGGCATCACCTGAGGGTTGGCCTGACTCTTGTACACCAACACATTGCCAGCTAGAGAGACAGGAGTTGATACTGAGGCTCCGTTAATCTGAGCCAGCATGGGTGTTCCTGCTGACACGAACCCTCCCACCTGGTGAATAGCTCCACCTTGCTGCTGTACTACCACAGAGACAAGACACTCCAGCTGGGCAGGTACCTGCTCCTCATGGGACGTAGACAGCTGAAAAATATTGATTTCTTTATTTAATTAAATGATATTAGCTAATCAATGAAGGGACATTTCTGTTTACTGGTTTATTTTTCAAATAAAAAGACATATATCAAAAAGGGTTGGGCATTATTTTTTGTTATGGGGGGGGGGGATGGATGAAAAAATGCCGGTTATAAAAAAAAAATAATTAAGTAAGACCACCCCTGACATCAATTCATTTGCTTGAAAAATTCATATCTCCCATCAATGAAAAATACACTAACTTTATACATATTTTCACTATGGCCTTTATTTCACAAAAACTCCTAATTATTTATGTAAAAGTGTGGCATAAAGAGTATTAAAAACACTCCTCCCCTATGGTTACTTTGATGAAAAGTTTCATGTACAACTTGAATTGCTTTACAAAAAACTTTTGAATGTAAACATTGATGACATTTCTCTTCAATATAGGCACTGTATAATAAGGCAGGATTTGCTGTAAATAATACATACTACAGAATTTATTTTATTCATTCTCTTCATAAAAGGAAACTAGTAGGATGAAAAGAAAGTCTAAATAAAGATTTAATGGAATTTAATCACACAGGATTTGTTGATATGTTCTACATGTATGTATTCTAGAAATATATGTATATATATTATAGATTTATTGTCATTGCAAATTTTAAAAGAAATTAAAGAAAAAAATCATTGAAAGATGAAAAAATTAATTTCATATATATAGCTGAAATAACTATATCCAAGGTCCCCCTTATCTGTCATTTTCAAGTTTTAATACCACCCCCCCCAAGTTTTGGTTAAAAATGTCCAGGGTCCCCCACCTTCTCCTCCACCCCTTCCTACTGACTGAAATAATGTGCTGCCCCTAATCACCAAACAATATCTGAAAATTCAAGTTTTAGTTTTTTTATTGTTTCTATTACACTTTAAAACAATACTGAAAGATTTCTCCAATAAATATTATTTGGATTACTTTTAAACAGTATTAGCATAACATCTGTTTTTTCTTTTGTTTTTTGTTCAAGGGGGGAGTGCCATTTTCCAATGCCTTGATTGATCACTCTCATTCCTGACCAGTATTTTATCATTTTAAGTTACAAACTAACAAGGTACTAAACTAACAAGCCCTAAACCAACTCACTTATCAAAATTTCTGAATAATCATTTGTATGTATAATCAACAAAACATCACAGTAGATAAACCAATGGATTTATTTTGCTCAAATTTGATAAGTAATTACTATACCTGTATGCCTTTTTCCTTGGCCAGGGGAGGAGCATTGATAAGATTGAGGTCAATGTCAGAATGCTCAGAGAACAGACCCACCAGGACAGCTGCACCAAGGTTACTTCCTGCTTTCTTCATACCACACCCTGAAATAATATTTATAAAAATTGATTTCATTCAGTGCACTTGTCATGGAAATGTTATACCAATAAACACATTAAATGTAAACAGCTTAATTCAAAGAAAAGGAGGGAAACCACTTCAAGCATTATATGCTGTCCTCATATAAACCAAGGAAAATACAAATAAAATCTGTACGTATTATGATACAAAAGCGTGCCAAAAAAAAAAAAAAAAAAAGAAGAAAAAGTAAAAATGTACACATAAGGCTTATTATCAACTAACTTGATTGATGAATTCACAAAAAAAAATTATAATAATAAATAAAATAAAATAAATTACTCTTATTAACACAAACAAAACTAATCAATAAAATAATCAAAAAGCTACTATGGGTTCACATTGGTATACAAGTCTATCATACCAAAAGGGAGTAGACGTTTTTGTTTGATGACCTCCAAAGGCCCAACATGTTTTGTTATTCTTTGTCATAATAACTGGAATACCTGCACAGCCAGCTTTTGNGAAAAAGTAAAAATGTACACATAAGGCTTATTATCAACTAACTTGATTGATGAATTCACAAAAAAAAATTATAATAATAAATAAAATAAAATAAATTACTCTTATTAACACAAACAAAACTAATCAATAAAATAATCAAAAAGCTACTATGGGTTCACATTGGTATACAAGTCTATCATACCAAAAGGGAGTAGACGTTTTTGTTTGATGACCTCCAAAGGCCCAACATGTTTTGTTATTCTTTGTCATAATAACTGGAATACCTGCACAGCCAGCTTTTGTGTTCCCACTTTCTGGTGCTTTTCCTATGTACATTGTAGGGCTTGAAAGTCAATATTTGACCAATTAATCTCACTGCTGTCATTATGATATTTATAATCGGGGTCCGCCATATAGATAAACGTCCCAATAAAATATTCGCCCCGATAGATACGTCTCTATACATACACGTCTCAATAGATTTACGTCTCGTTAAATTTACGTTCCGATAGATCCACCAACAGATTCCTATAAACCCACGTATCTTTAGATCCAGGTACCGCTAGATCCATCTATCTGACATCGTAATCGGCTAAAAGGCCCATATCAACTTGCGTTGTGAAATTTAGAACACATTTTTATGTTCTTTTTTGTTTTGTTTTGTTTAGAACAAATTTACATGTAAATTCAGAACACTTTTTACGTGTTCGAATGTTAGGCCTACATTTTGAGAACGCTTTAAACAGTGTTCTGACGCTAGAACAGTAATTAAGCGTTGTGAAATATAGAACACACTTTTGTTCTTTTTATGTTCTTTCACTTAGTATTGTGTGAAAACGATCTAGTAGAATAATATATTGCTGACTGCGTACTGCCGTTTTAAAGAAGTGCATTTTATGTACTGAGTAGTATACCAACCATTTCGAGCAATAGTGTACCTGTAATGGATCTATCGGTTTTTGGATCTAAAAATACGTGGATCTATAGGTATGCGGATTTAAAGGACGTGGGTTTATGAGGACGTCATATCTATAGGAATGCAAATATATAGGACAGCAGAAAAAAATCGGATCTATCGGTATTTAAATCTAAAAAGACGTTTTTTCCGTTTTTCCTCTATGTATCTATCGGTAACGGGAGTATAGGGACGTGTAATATTTTGGGACTAAATTTTATCCGTACGTACCCTTATAATCCTCCCTTACAGTGACATTAATTGTATTTTTGACCAAATATGATAGCATTAAATGAATTTTGAAGTTTCTATGTCTTGAACGCAAACCACAAATAACACAATCAAAAAGCATAGGTGTAAATTTCTTGTCCATGAAGTTGCTGAGCTTACTACTATATTGTACTTATGGACTGATTTGGTGAGCCTTTCCATGCACACTGAAGGCTGCTGAATCAGGGCATAAGTCATCTCAGGGCCTGTGCAATAATTCATTGGAATATTCTCAACAAAGGGCAAATTATGTTGTTTTAACGTTGAAACAACGTTGAACCATAACGTTGAGAAGACATTGGATAAACGTTGGATTTGAAGGTTGTGTCAACCTCAGATAACAACATTATATCAGCGTCAGAAAACAATGTTATAGCAACCCCACCAAGCGGGAAATTAGCCTGGATGTGTTTAGCAGTAGGACATTTTTGATGGCTAAATATATGTAGGGTATAAATGTATGGCCTTTAAGTTAAAATTTCCAAGGTTTAGATTAATATATATAGTTCTTTTCTTATATATATACTTATACTTTATTCATTGTAACGTATGCATCTACATGGATAGATGAAAATGTACAAAGGAATGCAAATGTATATTAATGTGAACTATATGATCAATAGTGATATTGTATGATTATTTGTATGAAAATACAAAACATATTTGGCGGAGCCCAAATGGCTCTACCTACTCAACTAGTTATGGGTGCAGCACAGTCCCTTTTTTGAAAGGCTAACCATAAATACTTGGCAAGAGCAATAATATGTTCATTCTTCTTACCAGTCATTAGTGTTTTAAATTTATCCATTCTGGTAAGAACTGTTGTGATCTGTACATATAGCCATCATCTGCGTCTGTCGGCGCCGTCGTCGCCGTCGTGNAGTGCATCCTTGAGCATTTAAGGAAAACAATATGGCCACCATAGGAATTTTGTCTACAACTACGTACATTCCCAGCGGGCAAATTATGTTGTTTTAACGTTGAAACAACGTTGAACCATAACGTTGAGAAGACAACTTTCAAACGTTGGATTTGAAAGTTGTATCAACCTCAGATAACAACGTTGTATCAGCGTCAGAAAACAATATTATATCAACCCCACCCAGCGGGAAATATATATAACAAAGTCACAGTCACCTCAACCTGTCTATCTATAACAGGTTACCAAGAACTGTCAACTCCATCACGTTTACAGCAACTTATTCATCCTTGTGTTAGCTGACCTTGCAAGCAATTCAGTTTATTGGAATGTATTTCTGAATAACATATTAAGAAAATTCACTTGCTAACTAAAGACACAAAACAACTGTCACTTTTACTTTAAAACCATTTTGTTATTATTTTGATAAATTTAGTTACAGTATTGATAAACAAAGTATCACGTTTTCAATAATTAATATTTTAAATTACAATCCATAACTGCAAGGTTGTGTCATTGACCAAAATACAACGTTGAGTCAACGTCGCATTATGACGGTGTTTTAACGTGGCTGAATCAACGTTGATTGTACGTTGAATTTAGGTAGATCAACGGCAATTCAACGTATCAACCTGTTTTCAACGTTGATCCAACGCAACTATGCCTGCTGGGATTGTAGATAGTTCAAATGATCAAATTGGATTTGTTTGTAGTGAGTTATATCTTTTAACTTCAATACCACAATGATACATGAGTTGGGCAATGCATGTAGGTGTGTGTCTCTGGGTATTTTGAGAAAAAAAATGCCCACCGTTCTCTAAAGGAATTTATGAGTTTAAACTGTAACAGTGTATAGCCTTGGGTATTTTCAAATAAATTAAGGCGGCTGCTTTTTCCCTTGATCATGTGTTCTTACTGCTATCAATGAAGGGAATTCCATTTGCCACAGAAACACCGGTCAAACCCCATGTGCCTGTATTTTCATACCAATGGGTAAAACTTTGTGACCGATGACAAGAGTAAATCCAAATTATTTTCCAAACGGCCACAGACCCAAAGTAAACGTGGTTAAAAAGTGATCAAAGCAGAGAAAGACCGCGACGTGTGAAAACTACCAAATGTCTCTGATCACTAATACCAATGTTTATGTAATATTAGGACACCACAGAGATATCAGATGTAGTGATTTATTTGCTTAAAGAACAACTTTAAATTCATTCTTGTTAACAATATTTCAGTTTTAAATATTAATGAGCAATTATCACAATGGAAAATTGCAGACGTACAATAAATCGCGCAACAGCTCATTCTGAACATGCAGCATGTCTTGAAATCTCAGGTCGATGCCTGAAAAAAAAAAAAATAAAATAAGCATGCTCATTTTAAACTGGAAAGCAATTATCGTTAGAATGAAACATAAAATTCTCCTTCCCTTTTCCGAGGGTTTACATAATCAGAATCCAGAGAAGCAGGTACCACATATGTACACGATTCGAAAGTCTCTATTGTAAATGGAAAATAACACATTTTAATTTAAATTATTGTTTTTCTTTTTATCAAGAGCTTATAAAATATGTAGGTATTACCTCCAATATTTCTGTGACTGTCAGTCACCATCATCAGAGAGTAAATGACTAGGGTCATTTCACCTTACAGTGGTCGTTTCGTCATCCAAACTTGCAAAAACTTAGTGTACCAGCTTCACTTATCCACCGGTGTGAGACCGTGATATCAGATACAGAGGACAAAGAAATAAAAAGGAAGAAGATTGAGAAAGACCTGTTAGCATGTGGATATCCAAAATGGGCACTAAAACAAGGGGAAAAAAGGCAAGAACAGACACGGCAAAGGAAAGTATAACAAAGGAAAATATAACATCAAACTCCACCATAAGCCAGGTTGGACGCTGAGACAAGCACTAGTAAAACCCAAGGAGAGCAATGTGATGTGATTTATTCGGTCAAATATAGAACCTGCCAAGGAGAATACATTGGCGAGACAGGAAGACCATTAGCCACAAGAATGAAAGAACACAAAGACTCAGTGGCCAAAAACAACTGGAAATCAGCCCTTGGAGAACATACCTGCAAACATCCAGGTCACCACATTGATTTTGACAGCCTGAAAGTAATAGACAGGGAAAACTGGACATTCCAAAGAAAAATAGCAGAAGCTGTACACATCAGGACCAAACAACCAGACCTGAACAGACAGGGGGGATATGATCTACCAGCTATCTACCTCACGGTGCTCCAGAGGGATGCATAGGAGCCCCGGGGGGGGGGGGAGTGTAACAGTTACAACACAAGGCCAGTGATTAGGGGCAAATGACCAGGATTTTCATTCCAGGTGAAATGACCCTAGTCATTTACTCCCTGATGATGGTGACTGACAGTCACAGAAATATTGGAGGTAATACCTAGATATTTTATAAGCTCTTGATGAAAAGAAAAACAATAATTTAAATTGATTCATACAGAGCTAATGAAACACTTCTCTCACTAACACATTTTTTTAATGTACTTTCAAAGACCAGTTGGGGGTGTAATGGACCGAATACAGAGAGCATTTGCTTTTGTCTTTTATTTGAAATACAACTCCTTTTTAACGCCTTTATTAGCAATCTACTACTCACATACATACTATGCTTGGAAACAGACACACTGATTATTCTGGCAGGTGCCCCCGACATTGTTGTTTGCGATACAGTCAGGCCAACATTCGCTGTCATCGCACTTGTCCTCTTGAGACGAACCCTTCCATCTCTCGTCTGACTCTTGTATTTTTTGTGTGATTAAGCCAAAGCACCTTTTCAAGCTCTGGCCTTGCTTGTAATGCCTCAGCTGTCTTTTGTCCTTGAGTAGTTTTGTCTTAGTCTCAGCTTCTGGTTCTTCGCTACGTCCATCACGGTTATATGGGTCCAGATTTGGTGTGTGCAGCAATGTAATTTTGTCTTCTCGCTTTCTGTTTCTGTCCATTGCTGGAAAAAGTACCGTAATTAGCCGTGTTCTTCTCATTCAAAGAACCAAATAATTCTCGCTCTTGTCTCTGAGTTCACAAAACCTACTATCCGCGAGCATATAATACAGAAACGATCCCATTTTTGCTGCATTTATGTGAACGCTCCACACAAGTCATTCAAATCGTTGTAAAATGTACATCTTATGTAAAGCATTCCAAATATTGGGCGGG